TTGCCTGCGCCCTGGCCGCCATGCCGCGCACGCGCGCGCACGCCCGCGCACGCCGCGCACGCGCGCGCACGTGCGCGCACGTGCGCGCACGTGTGCGCACGCGGCACTACGCGGCACTACGCAGCACTACGCGCCCGCCCGCGCACGCCCGCGCACGCCCGCGCACGCCCGCGCGCACGCCCGCGCGCACGCCGCACTACGCGGCACTGCCCAGGTTCCCTCACGCTCAGATTCCCTCACGCTCAGATTCCCTCACGCTCAGATTCCGTGCAAGGGGGTGCCGAGGTATGCCGCAGGCCGGGATGGAGTGAGATCTTGCGGGGCAGGGCGTAGGCTAGCGCATGAGGGCGCAGGCAAGTGCCCGAGGGTATGGGGGTGGGCGCCACCCTGGGGCTACCCGTAGCATTGTCGGCTCAGTGATGGGTATCCACAGCCGCTTCGGTTGCCACCTCCGCCCTCGCCACCCCCGCCCACGCGGCGCCCGCGATCGGGGCTGGGGCGGGACCGGACGAGGTGGAGGCCGGGCAAGCCTCGACAAGCTGGGACCCGCTCGTGATCGGTGAGGAGGATCCGCTCCGCCATCTACAGATGCGGCCGGACGGCGACAACCAAACGACGAGGCTGCCTTGATTGAGAAGAAATCGAACGAGATCTCTGCGGGACACCAGTGGATTTGTTGGAGTGGAGATCGTAGATGCCGGTCAGAGCTAGGGTCAGAGATATCCATCACACAGCATCTCTCACAAAACTCAGAGATCTTTAACTGAACGTAGAGATCTTGAGCCGCCGCCATCGGCACCTCGAGACATCAGCACTCAGGCCGGAGGCGGAGATATTGACTTCGTTCGCGCCAAAGGCGCCTAGCTAGTGCTAGATAGAGAATCGTGTGGGCCGCAGGGATGGTGGACTAACGTTAACACGAGTAATGGAGAAGTCTGTCCGCGCCTAAGGATTCTGCCTTTCCTATTCTGCTCTACTACACAAGGATTCTTGCTATTCTACCTCTCACTAGATTCCCCTTCCCAGGTTCCTCTTCTGCTCAGATATTATGATTCTCTCCCCAGACTCTCCCATCTTGGCCCCGCTTTCAGCTTCCTGATTCTCCATTCTCGTTTCCTCCGCTTCCTTTCCGATTCTCTAGGGCAGCCAGAGCCAATTCCTGATTCTGCTCCCCCCTCCCGATTCTCCTGTCTCTCTTCCTATTCTTGATGCTCCATTTGATTCCTGATTCCTGATTCCTGATTTGTCGGATCGCCCACATTTTGACCGGGATTCTGATTCCTGATTCCTGATTCCTGATTCCTGATTCCAACATTTTGACCGGGATTCTGATTCCTGATTCCTGATTCCTGATTCCTGATTCCTCGGAGTTACGCATTTCGGCGGGATCCTATGTTGGCCTGACTCTCCGAACTCCTGAGCCGATATTGCGTGTGCGCGGGGCTTCACACAGCTCACTCAAACTTCGCCCGCGGCAGCAAGGAACGGGCACTCGACCAGGTCGCACTCGGCCGACTCGAGCCGCAGCCCCGCCGCCGTCACCGCGGAGCCGGCCGCAAACGGGGCGGTGCACGCCTCGAGCGAGCGGTACTCGTTGGGGAAGTTGGTGGCGCGGTGCACCTCCTCGCCGGCCACCTCGAGCCACAGCTCGGAGAAGGTCGGGTGCATCGCCTGCGCCACCCGCCTCGACGTGCCCAGGTACTGCCCCTCCCCGTCGGTCGCAAAGTTGGCGACCACGAGCTGGCCGCCCGGCTTGATCTCGGCGGCGCGCTGCAGCAGGATGGCCTCCCAGTCGGCGGCGGCCTGCGCGGCGAAGGCCTCGCGCGCCGCCGCGTCGGCGGAGCAGGCCGAGTGCAGCGCGTCCGGCACGCCGCACGGGACGTCGGTCAGCCAGTGCATCGCCGTCGCGCAAAACGCGAGGTCGATCGAGCTGGGCGCAAAGCAGCGCTCGTAGAAGGAGGCGCCGCTGGCGAGGACGTAGACGTTGCCGATGGAGCCGTCCATGTAGGTGGGCACCGACGGGCTCGGCAGCGCGCCGCTCGTCAGCTGAAACACGCTCTGCCAGTCGTTGAGCGCCTGGTCCTCGTAGTGCACGACCACCGGCGCCTCGGGCTCGGCCTCGCGCACGGACGCGACGATGGCGCGCATGAGCGGGAGGCTGGTGCCCGCGTCGGCGGTGCCAAAGTCGGCGATCGCGAACGGCGCGGCGTTG